AAGTTGATTAAACAATTATCATGGAAGTCTTTTGGATTTTCATTGTTTGCCATTCTTTTTTCAGTAACTAATTTGAAACTAGTGTTCCAAACTGATAAATATATTAAGAAATGATTAGACAATTATCATGGAGGTAAATCTTTTGAATCTTCATTGTTTGCCAATTCTTTTTTCAGTAATGGAGAATAGTGTTCCAAATTGATAAATATATTCTAAGAAATAATTAAACAATTATTATGTAGCTAGGTCTTTTGAATCTCCATTGCTTGCCATTCTTTTCTCAATAATGGAGAATAGTTTTCCAAACTGATAAATATATTCTAAGAGATGATTAGACAATTATTATGTAGCTAGGTCTTTTGAATCTCCATTTTTTTATGTGTTTATCATTGAAAAACTCGAAAATCATTATCTAAATGTTACAAAACTTGTATATGATAGACAGAATATCATAAATCTGCTATCTTGGCTGATAAAATCAGATTTTTAATATTAGATTTTAAGATCTTGAGGAGTTATGAGAATATTACAGAACATCATGTATAGAATCACGAGAATACATCCGGGAACTTCTAACAATGATCTTTCACGTCGTGGAAACTCTTTGAGTGGAATCTAATTGCTCCCTAAACTGATTGAAATCCAAGTGCTTGAAATAGGAATTGATTGAGAATGGCTGACTGATGAAAACGCTTCTCCTAGTGCCAATTTAAAACTTATGCTTGAAAGATTGATTGCTCTCAACAACGAAACTAAAATATCTAATTCGAGGATGAATATATTTTGTTTATATTTTTTAAAAATAAAAATTGACTCGAAATTAATCAAACGTGTGGGATAAATTTTTTCAAAAATGATTTCTATTATTCGAAGATTTCATTATCTTTGGTGTGGAAAAATGATTGGGGATTTTTCTTTTCAAAATTCTTAAAAATGTAACATGGTATTTTGTAATTGAATCAATATTTTTTTTTTATAGGATTTTAATATAAATTTTTAAGAATTTTTAAAGGCTCTCGACTACTTTTTTAGTAGTAATGAATAAGAAATTTTGGAGCTTCTCTGTGTCGATTTCTTTCGATAAGGAGGAGGATTTTCATGCAAAAAGTTTTATCTTGAAAGTTTTGATATTTGAGTATATGTTACAGGAAGTAGTACTATGAAACTAGTTGAACTTTTGATTTTCAAATAAGATACTTTCAAACACTCTATATTTTTTACACTTTACTCTTTGGTAGAATAATTTATCTATCAATACTAAAAATACTATCACTAAAAAATACCTCTTTCAACAATTTTTTAAACTTTTAAACAAGCAACTTGAAATATTTTGTAATAAAATTTCTCTCTCTCTCTCTCTCTCTCTTCTTTTTTTCTTACAAATCATTCAAATTAGAAAAAGCGAGATAATAAATAAATATCTCATATTTACAAGATATCTCAATATAATTCTATTTCAAACTAAACAAAAAATTCAGAAATACTATAATATCCATAATTCCATAAATTTATAATTGTTTGAAATTTAAATATTCTAATAATAATAAAGGGAGAAAATTTTACAAGAAAGAAAAACGTGAATTCAATTCTCGCAACATGAAAATCACAGCAACAATCGAGATACGTTGTCGCAACATCGGTCAATATCTTTCGGACTTTCCGATTTACAAGCGTGTAGTAGCTAATAATTTCCGGCGTCGGTGATTGATAATGACGTGTACGTATAAGCGCCACGACCAATATCGATTTCCAATCGCAGCATTGGCGAGCTCCTCGCGAAAATGTGCAAGCCTGGCCAATTTCCGGTCCGAATTCCGCGATTTTCGCGCTTTTCCCGATATATATATATCTGAATGGAAACGAAATTAAAAATAAGAGCTTTACGTTTGTTGCAAAAAGTTGGAGAATTATTAAGAAAAATATTATTTTTTTGATTATTAAAAAAATTGGGATAAGATTTTTTTAGGTATGGTTAATTTTAATTGTTGTGTTGAGTCGTGGAAACGATAGAATATACTTGATCTCTAATAGAATGGAATTAGCTTTTTTGGGTGTTTTTGATCTGGTATGTTAAAATTTGTGTATATAAAAGAATTTTGTCGTGATGAAAAATAGAGGATATAATGTAGACGTAAGGAAGAATAAGTTTTTAAGAATTGTATTTATTTCTTAGTATTTTTAAATGAAAAAAATTTATCTGCTATTTTTTAGAAGAAAAAACTTTTTCTTTAGCAATTAATAAATTGTGCATTGTATTGTATATTATAATACGTGTGCCTGCACGAAAAAGTTCGATTCGAAGTTTGAAACTTCAAACTTCTGAAAGAATCCTTGTATAAATTCTTAGACTTGTAAAAATAGCTCGAGAAAAAAATAGTTTCCTTTTTCCCAATTTTTAACTTTATTCCATGTATTTTTTTGTTTTTTTTTTTAAATATCCAAAGTTTACAATAAATAAATAGAAATAAATATAATATGTATACACGGATATAAATTCTTTCATTAATTAATACGTTATTAATTAAGGTTAAATCGGGGAAAGGAGTTGAGATGAACTTTTTATCAATTTAGAGTCTTCAAGAGATCATTAATAGCGTTCACTAAAAGCAATACCTTTCCAGAGATAAATATACTTATCGCGTAATTTATCTTAAAACTCTATTAAAATTAGGAAAACTTTGAACCGCTATAATTCTGAAGATAGTAATTTCCGGTCAATGGATGAAAGATCTTTACAAGCGCGAAACTTTGCACTTTAATACACATTTTCGTTTGTTCCGATACGACTTTCGGCTCTTGAGATATCTTCATTTGAAGGAAAAGTAATTTTTAATCATTTGTCTTAAGTTCGATTAAAATTAGAAAAACTTTGAACCGCTATAACTCCGAACATAGCGACTTCCAGTCAATGAACGAAAGATCGTTAGAAGCGCGAAATCTTGCCTTTTAAAATGGTTTTTCATTCGTCTCGATATGACTTCCGGTTTCCGAGATATCGTCGTGTAAAGAAAAGATAATTTTTAATTCGTTCCATTTCCATTTCTACCACTTTCTCTCTAACCTGGTGTTAAATTACCAGACAAGCGGCAGACGCGAATGTCCTTGAAAAGACGTGTATGCATTTATCTAGGAAAAAATGAAAGTCACTAGATTCGTTCATAATCTTTGTACCAAGCGCTATGAATACTTTGAATGCTTATATCTCGGCAACCGATTGAGATATCGGAACGAATCAAAAAGTGATTTCAACGCCATGATTTCCTCTATTTTTCGAGTGGATTTTCGCGATAAAATTTCCAATCCCTTTTCTCGCGCTTTTTACTTACATACTTTTCGCTTATATTTATACAAATTTCTTTTATCTTTATCTCTTTTTTTTTTTTACATTGGTTTCAAAAATCACGCAAATTCATTCATATCTATAAAACAGAATTCCTTAAAATATATGAAAAATAAAATTCAAATTCATAAAATCAATACGTATTACACTTGCTTGTTCATATTTTTAATTCATTGCAAAACCTCCCTGTAAATTCGAAAAAAAATTTTTTATTCACTGCACCATCGTGGCGGCCAATTCCCAACAAATTCTCCCCTCCTTCTCCCTCATCCAGGGACAAATTGAACCCAATTCTCCCCGCATTCGAGCGCACATAGACGCAGAAAACAGAAAACAGTCGATGTGTGTCGAAACACAAGTGTGTCTCCCGCGCGCTTTATCGAAGGCTTTTTGTGTGTCTGTTGTGCGGAGGTTGGAGGCAGAAACACGCAGTAATCAAATGCACTTTACAATTGAATTTCAGGCGGGAGAGAAAGAAAGCGATTCTCACCTTAGAGGAAAGAGGGAGAAGAAAATATGGGAAAGGGAGACAAGAGGAGTATCGCGCAGCGCAGCGACGGTGAGTGTTTGTTTAATGTTAATTGAACGGTGTACAGTTGCACGCTTCAACTATTGCGACCGACTTCGCGCTTCGTTATTACGGTTTCTCTGTGCCTCGAACATTTCGAGATTATTTTTTATTTTGCTGAAAAAAATACATTATTAATTAGATCTGACTTTTTATGCATTTAAATGAAAAATTTGAACGAATGAAAATTTATAAAACAGTAGAGTTGAACTGTTTTCAGTTCGATGGTTATTAATACGAATTGGATGGAGTTTTTTTTTTTTTTTTTTTTTTTT